CCCCCCGTTCTGTTTCACTTGTCAGGAGCCACATTTACTAATAAAAGGAACACTATATCAACTGGATTTCAATTAAAGCAAATGCGATTTACTGAAGCCTTTGATATTCACATTAAAATCACGGCTTCAAATGTTTACAGAAAGAAAACATCTGACTCTTAATTCGGTGAATTCGTACAGGTGAATTGTATTCTTACCCCAAATTATCTTTTTCGTTTCTGAAAACCCTAGAATAACATTCTTGTGCACATCTGCATTGAATACAGTCTACCCTCTTTGCAGAATTATTTATTCCTTCAGGCATTTCCTCCACACAGTATTGTTCCTCTTATCACTTTAACAATTCAGTATACCGTTGTTAGAAAGCCAGGGAGAAATGTTCGAATGAATGAATTCATTAGATAAGAGCATCGTATATGTATTTTTCGTGTTTCTTCTTAGAGAAAAGCGTGCGCGTTGTACGGCGAATATACCTAAAAATTTTAAAATGTAGTTTGAAATTATAGATGCGCCTTATACACTGGTGAGCCGGAATATACGGTAATTATTATAACATTATCCTTCGTGTAATACTCCATTTTAGAGGCGTTAATCCATGATAATTAAAAAATAGGGAAGAGTCCTGCATGACTATTTATTAATCGTTTTTGTTTCAAAATGTCTTACTTTGATAAATGTGCTTTCGGTAGAAATATATTCACTTTCATAGAATAGTTCATCACTCGTGATGACAAGTTCTGCGTGATATATGGTGTGTGTGATTTATGTGGACATGCCAGATGCATTTGTGACAGAATCTGTGCCCTAAAAAATATAAGGATTCCAAGCGGAAGACAGCATTTGGACTAGGATTTCTCAAATACAGAATTTTTTCCTTCTTAGGATTTCCGGAAATTTCATGAGATCTCAGGATGATTAGTTTAAAAGTTAATAATTATTCATTTAATTAATAAGTGTGTAGAGACATTTAGGACTTTTTGGAAGCAGGAGACGTGAAAAATAAGCAATGCCTTAGCTGGGACTGGAACTTGGATCTCTCGAATACGCGCCGAGTGTGCTAACCGTTATACCACGAAGGCATGCAGAAAGGAGGAAGAAAATATCTTATAAAGGGAGCAATTACAAGAACCTAGATTTTAATTTTAAACAGATTTTTTTTAACAGATTTTTGCTGTTTACATATAAAACTTACTAAGCACTAGGTTTGACAGGATATGGAAGAGTATAACCATTGTTTCGTGATGCTTGTCTTATAAATTTTTGTAACTGCATTTGCAGTGAAAGCACCAACAGTAATTAATTTGCTAATAACATCTAAGTATTTCCCCTTGCCAAATTATATTAACGTTCTCTTTCTTTTATCAGTAGTAAAGCATCCTTCATTAATTTCACCTATTTTATGCATAAATGAGCTGATAACTTCGTCTTTTCTACACACTGTAGTCTTCTTATGTATTAATTGCCTCAGTTTCAAACGTCGAAACAAACTACGTATTGCACATCTATCGCATCATTGAAAAAAAGGAACATTTAAAGTATTTAGCTGTTTTTCCTTCAGAGTTTTTTGAATACAACCGAGCAAAAGATTTTGAATCAAACACAGCTTTTTCAATTTGCGCTTTTACAAAATATGAGTTTCATATGAATTAATAATTTAAAAAATTGCAGTGAAATGAAAAGGCATAAGCTGAGAAACGGTCCAAAGAGAATTTTGCTAAAAAAAAAAAAAAGGTTTAATAGTACTACTTTCTGAAACCCTGATTATAATATAGTAAGCTACCCTATAAAGTTTCGCTGTGCAAAATAATAAGCAACACCATATATCAAATCGTCATAAAAAAATCAAATAAATCATCAGTAGTCTTGCCAAATAAAAAATCGCCAAAAGTTAGTATCTGAACACAGGCATTTTTCAAACTTAATTTCCGGGGAAATGAATAAATTAATGAATAAATAAATTTTAAATAAGTAAAAATTCTTTTTCCGATAAATCGGGATCCCAGCTTTCCAAGGAAAGAACTCTAGTTTAGCCTCGAGTTTCTTTTGTTAAATGTCTAAGATTTTTCAGAATGCGGAAAACCTAACACTCCAGAGAGAGTCGTCTGAAAATAATCAGAAAAGATGGAGTGCTAGAAAATATTCTGAAAATTATTCTCAAAATGTCCACTACTGGATCAGGGATACAACCCTTGAGTTCTTTGCCTTAACCAAATAAAACAAACCATAACTGGATCAATGCTCTTTACTGCTGCATTTACTTGTCACAAAAGACAAGCAACAAATTATGATTTTCTAGATTTTTTATATGATGTCAAAAAATTGCTTCACTGATTTAAACTATGGTGACTTTATTTTGTATCTATATGACAGCGAAATATATATATCATTAACTTTTTAAGTTACCTCGCACGTTTTCTTTTAAAAATTAATATATTGTATCGAATATTATCTATCGGTGGAATTATTTTTCAAAAACGCATTATCAGTTTTTCCTTCATATTTTCTTATTAACTAATGATCTTGCTTTGTACTGAATTTAGTAATTTAGAGTTCTTTATTATATTATTTAACCTGGTCATCACATAAAGGAAATAATATTAATTTTGCTGCTTCCTTTGCTGATAGGTAATTCTGATCAAAATAAATGATTATGTTAAAATACAAGACTAGAAATTTTTCTTACTAGAAGCCATTATATTCCTTTGAGGAGGAGAAAGAAATTTCAGTAGATATCTCAACTGCCTAAAGGGAATGAAAGATTAGCCAAAGGCGAGTGTTACCGCTCCTGCTATGAATAACAATGCCCTTTTGCTTCATGTTTCGCATAATAGCTGAGGAGGTCTACCTTTCTTGCTGTTTCCTTCTCTTCCTTTCTTTTTTCTTTTTTTTTTTTTTTTAATTAGGATAAAGCATACTTCGATGCCCTGTCAGCTGCTTAGGTTCCTGTTGTCACGAAGGGGGATTCCTTTCAAGAGATTGCGTATTTTCCCTCGCTCCATTAGTTTCGTTTCTCTTGATTTACGAGTTTTCCCGCTAATTTTGTTATGAAAACTCTATAGATAAATTATATAGACTTCACTGATATTTGCTGAATATAAGTAAAAGCATTGTCTATTTGAAGGTAAAATGGAATTTTGTCGAGCACATTGTCAAACACTTGTAAGGTCAATAAGCCATTTTGGTTTACTGATAAGAATAGTTATTTATTATTATTATTAGTAGTAGTAGTAGGAGTATTTTGTTGCAAATGTATTTGTATCTTTCATATGAAATCCATGCGGTTAATGTCTGTCATGTAACATTTTACGTACGTAGTCCCTTCATTCTCATTCCACATGAGTTTTCATTTTCGCTTGATTTTCGAGGCAGGAAGAAATGCAAAATGATTTTAACTTCTTTATATGATGATTAACTTGCAAACAGTTATGTTCAAGAAAAGGACTGAATTTTGCTGTTTGTCTCGAGATATTAAAGGGAATGTGCTAGGTAATAATTTTTAAATAATTCCCCCCGGTACTAAATTTTATGCAGTTTAAGAAATCTGCTCTTTAATTTAAGTTTCTGTTGCATTCTGTATCGTTTATTTCAGTCAACATTAAGCTGTGGACTTGACTTCCTACAGGACTCTGACAAAATAACGAAGTGTTAATTTGGTTTCTAGACAGGGAAATGAAAAGCCAGAGAAACCGCTTAAATAAACTATTGTAAGAATATTTCCTTTTTAATGTGTCAAAAACGGTAATTTTCGAAAAAGGCATCAGGATTTCTTCGGAAGCTACTTCGAAATTACTGAGATGTCGTTTTGGCCGATTTGCAGCAAAAATCGAACCTAAATTCACCAAAATTTTTGAGTAATAATGCAGTTTAGTTAAAATATGGGCACATAATTAGCTAATGCAATACTTTGATTTCTATATCTTAAATGGTTTAATTAAAGTGATTGGAAAATGCATAATCTTCCAGACGGCTTAGACTTGGCTGAATGTTTAATGGTTAAAGCAGAGAAACTTTGGTATTTCATTCTGATCTTGTTCCTGGATGCATGAAGTTTCGTGATTTTTGTCATGCAACAAAAATGAACACCGCTATAGGCAACACAGTAATTTTCTATAATTGGTACAGTAGTTTTGAACTAACGAATTATTTTTTTGGAACAGGTAAACAGCTTGATTAATCTAATAAAAAACGCGGGGGGGGGGTAAAGCATAAAAAATGGCATACTTAATAAAAAAATAATTAAAATCTTCTGTTATTATTTAGAACTTTTTTTCCTTTTAATGAAGGAAAATCAATTTTTCAAAATCTTTTCATGATAATTAATTTGCTTTCGACAGACAGGTAAGCGTTGCTGGACCATTTTATCCAAGGAAATAAATACACCAAATAATTATTTATTATTTTAAGTTTACTCGAACTCCTTTCAGCTGTAGCTGGGGTAGTTGCTAACGCTAAAAATATTCTCAATGTAGTTTGCAAACTAATCTACGGTTGAGCTAATCATGAGTTATTTCTAAAAGGTCTAAACTGGCTAAAGTTTTTAGTATATAAAATTACTGAAACAACGAGGTTTTTTAAAAGTTATTTCTGATGAAATTTTTCTAAAGTTTCAAAACAAAACAGACATTTAAAAAAATGAAAGAAATCCTTTGTTTCTGTGCCTAGCAGATGCTGCACGAATCTGTAAAAGAGTCTAAATGTAAAACTAAATTGTTGTATTAGAAAATACTGTGAAAATGAGCTGCAGTATAAATTAACATCATAAAATTCCTCTGTTATTACACATGGAGTTGTCCTAAGATATTTCACTGGATGTTCTTTCTTCTTTCTGGGGGGGGTATCTTTCACAATGATAAAATAAAAATTTTATGTATTAAATTAGCTGGTTTGTATTCCATATAGCAGGTAATTGCGTATATTAATTCATATTTAAACAATTTTCGGTTGACTATAATTCTTGTTTTTTTTTTTTTTTTTTAAATTTAATTTCTTATTTTTCTTAGGTAGGTTGGTTCCTTTCTTAGCTGTACACCTGAGGCGAGGCAATTGCTTCGTTTTCTACAGCCTTGTTCCAGTCTTGGTTTTGAGTAGCAGTAGCTGTAAAGATGCAAAATATATTTAGGTAATAATTTAAGTCATTCTCTAGTATTCATATCTCCATAATCCCGTTTTTATTTTTTCTGTCCTGTACACCTAATTTTCCTTCTTCTATGCTGTGAATTCTATCCATTTAAGCTCTTTAAATGTTTAGTGTAAATGCCATCAGATTTAAAAAAAGACGTTCGAACTCAAGAATTTCCGGCTTCGAGCACTTGAAAAAGTTAGCGCGTTAGTGGTCAGTGAACTGTCGGGATCGGAAGCGATTCTCTTATAACGCTTGGGCCTCTGTGGCCGTATATTGTTTTTGTGGAATGGAGCACTTAAAATTTATCCAAGAATTCTCAAAAAGCTGATGGTAGGGAAACGACCGAATATGAGATTTTGGGATTCCGTTCCCCAGGTCAAATTTTGTGAAGAAACATGGGTCGGCTGGCTAATTCTTTACGGAAGAGGGCTACGTGCTTAGAAGGGGGTCATCTTTGTAGATAACTTCTTAAAGGAGAATTCCTTTTTATTCACTTAATAATGGAGAAAGCCTCGAAAATGCCCATGCAGCAAGCAGTTCTCGGGTTTGAAAGCGGGCTGAATTACCAGTATTCAGTGGTCTTACCACTCAGCCACAGCAAAGGCATCAGTTATCAGTAATCAACTTCGTTATCGACTTCACCGTTAATTTTTCCCTCACGGTGGAGCTTAGATAGTTCTCGCAGACATGTGCTTTTCTTGAATTAAATAGTCTTAATCCAAACTTAGAATTTACTCTCTATAAACGGCTGCGCTCCATCCGGTGACACGAAATGATGAATTCCAACGAAATTTATATCTAAATGTATACACTGCTTTCAGTATTTTAATAAAGTTTACATTTTTGTTGATTTTTCATTTCTAGGTTATTAAAAATTAAACTAAAAGCTGTATTTGTTCTGAATTATACCATTTTAGTTTTAGAGTGCAGTAGTATTACATTACTCTAAATCTAAAATTAGTATTACTTTGCTTAAATAATATATTTGTTGAACCATTACGGATAATGCTTATAATGTTCGTTTCGAAATAAGTGTGCTATTTTATTCTGCGTAATTTTGGCGATATTTTTGTAGTGTTCCGAGTCTGTTTATCATTGTGTCAAGCGTATGCATGCTGCTGTTATACGTTATACTCTGAATAAATTATCTTTTGACTGAAACATAAGTTTAAAGACTTGTTTAATCTAATGATGATTTATTACTCATTTTAGCTAATAGATTAAGTGGTTGAACTTGGGAAAATATTTAGTGTTTTCATTATTATTATTAAATTTTAGTATCGTTTATATAATGGCGCTACTTTATATTCTTTTTAAAGAAATTAATTGTTGATTTTTAAATACTGGGAAGAAACTGGATCATTTTTATAAAATTATGTTTATGGCAATTAAGGAATTTTTCCCAAAGCTTTATGCATTGTTAGAGGTTAATAATATATTCTAAAAATTTACTTGCTATTCGTAAATTCTGGATTTTCTGCACGTGTTAATTAAATTATCTAAGTAAGTGTTTTATTTCTGACAAAGGAAAATCTGTTCGTTTCTTTAATAAAGCATTGGTTGATTTCTGATGTCGAACGAAAATAATTTCATTCCCCGGACAGGAATTGCGTCTAACACCTTTTAATATATAGTATTCTTTACTCGTGACAGTAAACTTAAGTTAATTTCATGCGTGATTCTTATAAATGCTTAGGAAAATCGTGTTTGTTTGCGTTTGTAAAAAAAAAAAAAAAAAATCTGATTGATGAAGGAAGTGTCATGCTTGAGTTATGATTAGCTCCGAAAATCGATTAAAATATTAAAATAGGCGCCTCATAATACGGCTGGATGCATTATTCATCCTAAAACTCGTAGACAATAAATATCCGCACACCGAGCATTCGACAGTTTCCGTACAAAAATATTTATTGCTTAGTCTTTGAATACACAAATGGAGGTAGCATCGTCTAATCTGCATTGTTAACAGTTCGAAAAGGGGGGAAGATAGACTAGGGCCATAGATACGCGAGAAGATACAATAGAAACGACTAAATGGATCATCATGCAACATATTGTTCAGAAACTGGATTTAAACAAATCAAAATGTTTTTCAGAAACTAAAAGAGAAACCAACCATTTCCCTTGTGTCTTGGCCCACCAGCGGCCAGGCGGTAAAATCGCTGAACACTGGTAGTTCGGTCCGAGGTTCGAATCCCGCGAACAGGCTGGCAGCATGGGCGTTTTCGTGGTTTTCCCCATGTGTAACGTGTATACGAGCCGGGTTTCCTTAGAAAGTCCTCCACGAAGGCATCCCTCCCTTTAGGCAGATGGCCCTAGTGTGCTTTGCCGTATTTTCAATACACCATACATAATACTCTTGTGTCTTGATATAGCAGTGGTAGTTCTTAAAGGGCTACTTCCAGGGCAGATAGTATAATCTCTTAGTTATGATATATCGGCTTGTATTTTCGTGGAAGTTGCAGAATCTGGAGCGAATACACGCAGCAGTCTGTAACTCGACGAACATTAATAATAGGCTACATACTATGAATAAGCAAAAGTCTGTGTAACTGCACTTCAGTCGCAGCATCATATTATACGGTCAAGGAAACTCGTCAGAAAAGAGCAATTTTTTTCTAACATCTTGCTTTTCTCGGTTCTTTACAGAAACAAATTCAGGCCAAATAAAGGATTCATCCCATTTTTTTTGGAGGGGGGGGAATTGGAATTTCAGCCACTACATAGTTGCGATTTCTTAATAGGCAATATACTTTCATTTGATGGGGCTATCAGTACATAACAATAACAAAGAATCTTGAAACAGCGTTTACCTCTTCAATTTATTCTACTTCGTTCATTGGCAGATTAAATCTTTCAGAAGGACATTGGCAAGTTTGACTAGTTAGTTAACCAAGTCAAGTTTTGGACCAGTTCCGTCACTTTCCTAATCCCAGTCCTATCAAATATCCATGGAGTCCTCAAGAAAGATGTGGAATTATAAGCTTGAGGAAAAATCCTTTGGAGTCTCTTAACCAAAAAACTTCAAACATTTTGGAGAAAACTATCATATCTATGTGAATGAGTGGCCTGGTGAAATGCCGATTTAGATGCTGCGAAAGGAAAACCTAAGAAGCAATTACTATGTGCGAAACCTTGGGCGTTTTAATGTATTGCCTCCTACTTTGAGAGAAGTAATGTTTCCTGTCATGTAATTAGATGATTGTTACAATGTTTGTGCTCCGTTTTCCTAGTAACTCATATTTTAAGTGGAGATTTTATTTATTAAATTGGTTTTCTTTTAAGCTCAAACGAGGCTTTTCTCCTAATGCTTACAACAGTCATGGATTGAGAGTAAATTTACTACTATGGAGAAGGTACTAGTCATTGGGAAAACAGCTTACTTAAATTCTTTGACCTATATGTAGCCTAATTTAACTCTTCCTATAACACTGCATCTGCAACATACCCTAAAACCGGCGCTGATGATTACCTCACTGGAAAAAAGTAAGCATAAAATTCAAGAAACTGTGAATATTTACACACATAATATTATTTCATTCAACAAAATTCTATTATTAAGAATTTTTGTGAATAAAATAATTTGTAGTATGTATTTTGATATGCTTGTTTGAAACGTTCCTTTCTATTTGAAAAATCAGATGATTTCAAAAAATGTTATTAAACAAAACCACGTATAATAAGAATTTTTTTTCCGTAAAGGGCATTTTGAAATACTGGTGGTGTATAATAAAAGCTTGCACGTGTTAATATGCTTAGAAGTTGAGTATACGACTCTAAAATGAGATAGAAGGAGGATAAAAGGAGATAGAAGGAGTAGATAAAAGGAGTTCTAGAATGTTTTGCGGATGCACATGAAAGATGGCAGGAAGGAGACTAAAGAAATGATGTAAGACAGGTGGAGTGATTAGTGGTATTGAATGAGTCTGTGCATACATAACGACTAGGTAACTACGCTCACATCTTTTGACGCCGTATTTGACGTTCACAAATTCTCTGAAAGTACATTTAAGTTTTCCGAATGCTAATGAAATTGCTAAAGAACTTCTTATGCAGCAAAAAATTTATCCGAAATTTGAGAATGGTTGAAATATACTGAACTATACTACATAAAATGTTGAGGAAAGGAAAATTAATGAAAATTGTATGAAACATTTTATCTCTGTGGATGTCAGTAAAAGTAAAATCTAATGATGAAAAATTGTTGTTGATGAATGTATTTGGTCATATCGTGATCAGCTCAATTGATCAAAGTCAAATTACGTCGTGGGTTAACGTAACTCATTCGAGTTCAATTGGTCAAAGTCAAATTATGTCATTCTCTACGTAAATCATCCGAGTTCAATTTCTCAAAGTCAAATTAAGTCATGGTTAATGTATATCATCTGAGTTAGGCTTAGAGACTCTATAAACTAATTTGGTAGACTATCTTTTCTAGGTAGGGAGGTCATAATTCCAAACGGGCTCTGCGCCTGAAAGTCCTGAAAGTGGAGACGATTAGAAAAGGCAATCTACACCTCCAAAGGATGTAGTTAGAATCTAAATATGTTACGCCCCAAACATGTGAGAAGTGTGAATCTGTTACATCACAGTCAAATCCCTCAATCGAGGCCTAATTAAGCCACTCATAAAGTTAAATGAGTTATGAAATCAGCACTTAGAATAATTCAGTTGGTAGAGCTTTGTCTACCAGGTCTTGAGTTTGCTCCTTGGCCAGGGCATAGGTTGTTGCAGATTGCTTACAAATGGTCAGTTAATTGATGACGACGAAATGTGCGAGGAGTGTCTTCCATAGTAGGACATATAAGTTAACTAATTAAGGCAAACCACATGTAGGCTGTCTGCCTGGGGGAAGGGGAATGCCTCCATGAAGGATTCTGTAAGGGAAACTGGGAATTATTCCCTATACGCATAGGTAGATCCAAACCTTTTCAACCTCGTATGTAAAACATTGTTAGGTAATAAAATAGTGGAAGTACAAAATGAATAAATTTTAT